CCCATATCTTCAGCAACTTACATTGTATTAAAAAGAATGTAAAACCGAAGTAAAGACCCCCATCCAGACTTATCATATTATGGCTAATGTGAAAATAACGTTAAGACTCACATCCAGACTTATCAATATTATTTAGAATACGAAAACGACCCAATGTGCAGATTTATTTATCTACAGTTCTGTCTGCTGACCTACTAATACTAATTTATCTACCTACTGACCCACCAACTATCCTACATACTGATTTATCTCTCAACTGACCCATCAACTACCCTACATACTGACTAATCTCTCTACGGACCCACCAATTATCCTACATACTGACTAATCTCTCTACAAACCCATCAACTATCCTTAATACTGATTTATCTCTCTACGGACCTATTAACTATCCTACTTACTAATTTTTCTGCCTGCGAACCCATCAACTATCCTACATACTGGTTTATCTCTCTACAAACCCTTCAATACCCTACATACTAGTTTATCTCTCTACGGACCTAGACGCTAGTATAAGAACGTATAGCTACGGACCCACCAACTGTCCTACAAACTCATTCATCTCTCTACGGACCCGTGCATCGAGCCATGTACCGATGTATTAATCTACTAAAGAACTGATTCAGCATTGTCACCACCAACCTTCAGAGTTTTAATAAGGTCAGCGATCTGTGCGCCCACCAGTCTGGTGTTTCCCGTTGCCTGTGTGTACGGCGGTGCGTTGCCATGGTGCCAGTCCACGATGATCACGTTGTAGTCTCCGTAGGTCAGCAACTCATTCTTCAGCTCCTGTCGGGCAATGGGGGGTGGGGGGGTGGGGGTGGGGTGACGTGAGAGATGTGACAGGAGGTGGGGCGAAGTGATACGATTTGACACAATATTGTGTGACAGGAGAAAAGAGATAATCATATGATTTGACGGGAGGTGAAGTGATACGATTTGATGCGAGGCGGAGTGGTATTTTTGAGGCCATATTTTTATCATTTTAAAATGTCAGATGTCTATGAAAAAATTGAGCTCAGTATAATATGCACCAGCGACTCTCGACCACAGTGTTCTGTGCTCTCGACTGAAGAAGTTTGGTTTGGGTTGCAAATAGCAAAGTTGGTTTATGTTTGAGCTGTCTCTGAAAATCGTGTTTTTTTCGTATTTCGCGATGTACACAAAAGTATAAAATTTGAAACATTCATAATTTCCTTAATTAAACATAATCCTGTTGCAATAAATTTGATATCAAAATGCTCTTAAGGAAAAGTTCTTATGACATAATATGGATTGATTTTTTACTTAAACCCTATATGAAAATTCAGTGTTGTATAACTAGTATTATATGTGACGGAAGGTAAGTCTTATGGTGTGACGACAGGTGGCATGAGAAGACATGAATCAAATAGTTTTGAATAAGGTGAGATGAGGTAAAGTAAGGTGAAGTGTGAAGAGGTAGGCTGGGCTGATGTGGGATGGAGTGAAATAAAGTGTGGTAGGGTGAGGTGAAGTGAGATAAGACAGGTGAAGTGAGGTGGAGTGTGAGATAAGAGGAATGACGTGAGGTGAAGTGAGATAAGACTGGTGAAGTGAGGTGGAGTGAGGTGAGGTAAAAAGGGGTGGGCTGTGTTGGGATGAGGTGAAGTAAGGTAATGTGGGTTGAGGTGGGTGGGGTATGGTGAAATAAGATAAGGCAAGTGAGGTTCGGTGATGTGAAAAGGGGAGATATGAGGTGACGCAGAGGAAGGGAATGACGTGCGATGGGGTTGGGTGAGGTGAGATGGGGAGAGATGAGGTAAAGTGGTGTGAGATGAGGTGAGGTGATGTTATATGATATGATATGAGGTGGTGTAAAGTGGAGTGGTGGAGTGATATGATGTGAGATTAGATAAGATGAGAAGAGGTGTCGTGATGCGAGATAAAATGAAGTAAGAGAGGACTAAATGGGTGCTTTAGCTGAAATGAGATGAGATGACGTGGTGTAAGATTTAGATAAGGTAAGGTGTGAACAGACGGGTGATTACGATGAGATGAGATGGCGTGGCCTGAGATTAGATGTGGTAAGATGGAGCTACACGGGATGAGATTAGGTGAACTGTCATGACTTAATGGCTACTCCACAACGCCACGAACCTTCAACCACGGATTCACCAGGACGCTATCGAGAAAGCCGTGCACCAGGAACTTGGTGGGTCTCGATTTGTAGTTGGTCCAGACCGTGGCGTGTTGGTCGGGGTGTCTGGCGTCCAGGACGACCTCCTTGGTCTTACTCTCACGGGTGTACAGCATGTACTTGGTCCTGGGGAGAGAATAAATGGTAAAAGTGGTACAGGTTTAACGCCTCTTTCAACACTATTAGGTTATTTAGGAGGCGGGACTTCCGAGTTGAGCGTCTATTTTTCGAAAGGACCGAGCCAAATGGTAAAGTCGTGTAAAGTGCCATTCCTAAGGATACAACGTTGGACCAAGCTGACGCTTGTCAGTTTGTTAGTGTTCGAGGGCGTGCAATTCGCAGATTGCATTGCATTTTATATCTCACGGGAAGCCAAGCATATTTATGAGTGTTCTTGGGTCTGTCGGAGTAATAATGGTTGTAAAGCGCATAAAGCATGCTGCAGAGTGTGGATATGCACTATATAAATGCAATTATTGTATAATAATAATAATAATAGATAGCATTTGTATAGCGCATATCCCCGCTCAACAGCAGGCTCTATGCGCTTTACACTATATT